AGGGGAAATCAGACTTTGTTTGAGTTAATTAGCAAAGTGTTCTTACCATAACCAGAGTTAGCTTGGTTCTTCTGTAGTGAAACGGTTGACTATGGATATGTATGAAGTTGATAACATTAATATTCTGATTTAATTAATTAATTAATTAAATAAGTGTCGTATTTTGCCTCTGTTTATCTTGAGATTTTTAGTCATGTGCTTTTCTTTCTTTTTCTTTTTGTCTTTGTCATATTGAGCATGTCAGCATTGCACTCCACTGTATTTGACAAATTCTGATTAAATAATAGGTTGGTTTGTAGTTTTTCCCATACTCATTGACTCTTATAATTAATGTATATTAACATATGATTTTCACAATATTACAGTTTTCAAAGAGAGAGAACAGCCCACAAGATTGACTATCCAGGTGTGAAGACTATTCCAGGATATAATCCTTTTTTTGTATGGAGCCTGAGACAGAGAGGTTTTATTGGGACTTTTACATACATTTTTCATACAAAACAACACTAGCCTGCTAGTTCTCTACTGAATTTGAGTTCTGGATTGTTTAAGTAAGAAAGCCTGAAAATGTCTATCAAACTGTTCATGAAAAGGTAGTGGCAGATCCAGGGAAAGGGTTTCAGGGGCCTAGGTCCCTCCTTAATTTTTTTGGACCAAACTGAGGTGCAAAGTGCCGAAAAAAAATTTTTTTGAGACTGGGCCCACCCTTATCTAAGGGTTTTGATGACTGCCCCCCCCCCCTTCTTATCTAAATTTTTATCTGATGGTCTGGATTCTGCACTGAAAAGGTATATCAATCCTCAAAAATGCAGCCTGATCAAACCAACAAATGCAACTCAAGGTTTTAGCTTCTCTATTCCTAAACAAACTTAAGTCCTAATTTGGACCAAACAGTCATGTTTTTGCTGCAGCAGTCGTTACACTTGTATACTAGATTTTGGAGTTAATTTAACGAGTTGTCCTCTCTTGCAGCTAATGTTGACATTTTCCTAGTAGTTATCTATCATGTAAATTGCTCTGTTTTTAGGAATCTTTTCATGTGACTGTTGCAGTTTAAATTTACCCTCTCTTGGCCTCAACCCTTAGAACCCTACGAGTGACCTAAGCTTCTAATAATTATCTCCTCACTGCAGCATCAACCCTGGTTCACAACATTCAGGTCACAGGAATAAAAGAAATGATCACCCAGCAAAAATCCCTAAAGAAGCTCTTAACAGTGAGAATCAAATTCTCCTTGTCAGCACCTTAGGAAATGTATGAGAATAGTATGGAGAATGTGCATACTAATGCAGGGTGTTGATCATTTATTGTTGTTGTTGTTTTTAAACACAGCTCCTTCAACTTCATCCTATAAACAACCCTCAGGTAATGACGATGGTTCTGGCACATGGGAAGATCACCCTCTGCAGACTTTCCCTCATCATTCTGAGGTTGGGTTTTTAAATTCTTTTTTTTTTTTTTCACTGGATATGGTTTAGTAAAATGTGAAAATGGCATTGCTTAATGGGAATCAATTCAG